GGTCCTTATAGAATGCCAAAGAAATAATCGTTATGACTCACTTTTGCACTTCTCATCTTCGTCCATCCCACCCACTTCTCCCGCCATTAAGGCTAGCCGGCCATGGCCCGTCTTCTCACCACGAGCTGCGCTACGCAAAGGTTTGGCTATCACCTGCCACAAAGCCTTCAAGATACGTGGCGGGCCACCGCTGCCCTCTTCTGGGTTGCCGACACTGTCCGGTAGCAGCGGCAACTTAGCAATGGCTTCAGCCAGCTGAGGCGGCATAAGTGGGTCGCGACAACTGGTACCCGATGAATTCAAGGTGCCACGAGCCATACCAGCCAGCCCTGTTGCCGAATTCATGTCACCATCGGTGTCTGCAGAGATTGCAGCCAATTCAGCACTCCACTGGGCAAGGCTTAGGTTTAAAAGCCTGGCCGTAGAGATGCGAGTAGAGTCAATGCCAGAGCCAATGCTGCTGCCTCGTATAGACCGGCCGATACCGCTGTCAGAAGAAGACAAAGAGACAGTGTCTTCACCAGGAGACGAGCTATCTGCCTCTTCTTGCGACCCGGTCTCGCCTTCCTCTTCGGGTCGGACAACGCCAAAGTGATCCGTCAGGCATCGGTGAAAGTTGCGCAGAAGCTCCTGAGATGTGGGGAAAATTAAAATGATGATGGACCTTAAAATGACTCCAATGTGAGTCCACTATGACGTGTAAATAAAGCCTTGATTTCCTTCTAGAAATGATAATGGTATCAAAAGCATAGAGCATTGGAGAATCTGTAACTTTGCCATCAGTTTCGTCTGAATTAAAGAAGTAATAATGCTAATTCGAACTTGTTTTCTCGACTTAGTTGGAGCATCAAGCAGACCTCGTGAAATGTAGCAAGTCATGTGTCCTCTGTCCTATTATCATGACATCCAGCATCGGACTATTGACTTGATACATTTCCAAACGTTTTATCAGCATCGTAGTCAGCATTGCCAATGAGAGGTGCCATCATTAGAGCAGAATTACAACTTATTAAAGTGATGAGTGAAGGAAAGCCCCTCGACCAAATTTGCGTTCAACCTTTGCCTTCACTTGTCAATTTGATAAGTTGTAACTATGTACTGACGATGCCGGCGAAACGTTAGAGAATGTACCGAGTCAATGGTCTGATGATGGAAATCACGAATACTATGACAGAGGACAAAGGACTAGGTCTCCTTGACGCTCCGACGAAGTTGCGGAAACGAAATCGAACAAACACTATAAAGATAAAGGAAACTGCGGCCAAACAAAAGGCCGCATCATCTTGGTCTTTATATCTACGATAAGGAAGTAATAACCTAAAGCATTTATAATCTGTGTTTATGCTTAACTTCATTCAGGATTAGAGAAGACCAAATGGAGCTATGTTACACAGCCAAGTCGACATATACAATGATTCAGCATCAAGCCCAAAATGCGACTAATTGTTCAGCGAAAAGGAAAACGTGTAAGATGATAAGTGAGGGACTCCGCTCATCTGAGTGCTGCCATTTCGGAAGGATACATTAGACTGACCGGAAGTCGGAATAAGATGTTTTCGTTTTTGATTAGGTTTTCGAGTTTACCCTATTTCGTTTGAGGTGACGGAGGACTAGGAATTTAATTTTTACCACAATGATATGAGTAAAGCTAACGTTTACTTTAAATTTCACATTGCTTTATTTTTCCTAAAAGTGTTCACCTCCAGTGTTGACTGCAATTTCGATCTCGCTTAGGTCTTATCAATACCCCAAGTAGGAGAAGAACCATGACAGTGCAACGTGTAATTCCGACACGTTAACCACTACGTCATGCCACGATTGACCTCGAACGACAGGGCAGATGTGAATTTCAAAGAAGGTTAGGCATTTTCCCATATCACATTCAGTGGTTGAATTTTCGATGCAGCAAACTTATATTTGCTATAGCAATCGACGAAAATACTATCGTTTTTGAGTCTGGTAGCTGTGAAAACCTATTCAAAAACGAAAAAATAATGTCGTCGATTGCAATAGCAAATGTAAGTTTGTTTTATCTACAATCCTACAACATAATGTGATATGGGAAAATGTCTGACCTTCCTAGAAATTTACATCTGCTCTATGACCCAAGGGCATTCGTGGCCGTGGCATAGCGGTTAACGTGTCAAGATTACATTCTGCACTGTCATGCTCGGACTCCTGCTGGGGATTTTGATAAGACCTAGGCAAGGTCGAAACTGCAGTCAACCCTGTATCAGAACATCTTAAGGAAAGGCAAGACTATGCAAAATTCTACGCATATAGTCTGAATAAGAGGCCATAAGGATCATAAGGTCAGGTGCACAGTTCTGATAGTTTTATCTGTCAAGTCTCTGGCTTTCAGAGGGAAGAATGCAATATTAACAATAGTGCACGCCATATGCAAACATTAATTGAAACGAACTTAAAAAACCCTCTATAAACCCAGATAATCTTACATTTCATGTCTCTGTATCCTCGTAATACAGCACTTCAATTTGCTAGAGTTGTGAAAACTTTGAACAAGGCATTGATAAGCAAGAGACTGAAGAGTGGACAGGGGCAAAGCGCGTATGATTTCACAATAAATTGTCATCTCCTAGAAAGAGCCAAGCTGAAAATATATGCATTCTGAACACATGCTAATAGTCACCTGATTGAGAAATTTAAAGCTGAGCATATTCCAATTGTGCCAGACACTGTGTAGTGTGTGATGATGCCGCGTGGATGAGAGCCTGCCTTTATGTTTCCATTATGCAGATACTTAGTAGTGAGTAAAATGGTGGAAATTATACTAAATAGAAAGATTGTATTAAGCCGAGAATGAACCTATATTAACGAGTCTTTGGCCACTAAGCACTGAAATCATGGCGTTGATAAAGGATATTATAGGATAATTTAAAATTCGTGTCAAGAAAATAAAACGGTTTGATAAGTTGGTATAATCTGTCGCGGAAGCCAAGATAGCATATAGTAGCATTTTGAACTTGGCATGAACCATACAACATGAGTTATCCACATAAAGGATTGTGTCGACTGTTTTATACACACAAGTAAGAAACGAATAAGATAGATAAGTAGATAATGGATCTCTCCAGCCTACTTTGATTTCCTCAGTACAAGGATTGCTTCTAGAGAGTCCTAAGGATTCCTCTACTTCGTCCATTTCTCCAGCGTCCTCATCCCCACCGTCACCTTCTTCATGGAGAAGGCCCGTAGGCCCATTGGGACCAGGCAGCCGAAGCAGACAGCGCATCTGCTTATCCGGCGGGCAGCGGAACTCTCGAGTGCGTCGAGCCGCCACTGATGAAGGTAAGTTGGAATGCTTAATGGTAAGATAACGCTGCTGCTGATCCTGATCACAAAGGGCGTCAGACGAGAGAAAAGGGAGGGAAAAAGATAAATGCATACCAGAAAAATAGGTAAACGTGCAAGAAAGATATAAGAGATGGGGAAAATCCTAATGTAGCTTTCGCACACCAATTTCTCCTGGCTGTTAAACCTCTCAATACAAGCTAGTTGAGGATAATGTGGGAGGCCTACCTAGGCTTACAAATAAGGCGTTGGTTTGAGCAACTTATTTTGGAGCTGTGCCCCATAAACTAAGTCTTTCGAGGAAAAGGCACTTAGCTAAAGAATACTTCCTCAAGCAAAGCAGAAAAGAGGATACGAAAAATGCAATACGTTAGGAAGTGCATATGGGGTAATAATAAAAACTAAAATGCCTTAAGGATGAATTTTTTAAATCGAGTAGAGCAGAAATAAACTACTTCTTAAAGGGTCATTTTACATGCGAAAATAGTGTTCAAAACACTTTTGCTAGTGGAGGAGAGGAGTGAATAAGGAATGCAATTTATCAAGAATACAAACGTTTTAAGCTATTTTGACTCATAAGCCTCCCAAAAAACCTAAAGATGGTCTTATAAAGTATTATAAAAATTATTTTTTTTAATGCATTTGAATATCCTGAATATTAAAAGCATAGGTTAAATGTAATGATATGCTAATCAATAAATGGATGAGCCTTTATACTCATTAATATCCTAGTTGAAGCAAAGGAAAAATATTGTATATGATTCTGTTTGTTCTGAATTGAAGATAGATTAATTCTAATGGGATAAAATCAGGAATTATTACAACATAACATTGTGTGGCATGTAAAGCACTTCTGCATTTAGCATTCTATTGATACATCCTCAACCTTGATCCAACGATTACACCATTATCTTTAACTTTGTAAGGAACCAAAAATGCCTTATTGTACGTTTTGACAATTTCTTAATGAAAGAAGCCCATAGCTTGAAAGTGACTATTCATTTTGAGCTACCTAAAAGATCTAAAATTAATAGGGCCAATGGGGAATAAGATAAAGTAACATAAATAAGAACGATGCACTAAATTTCATCGCAAATATAAAGTATTATATTAACTTATTCATTGGAACATTCGTAATACGATAATTCGAACCCTTTGAAACTGTATCACTTTGAAAAGCTATTTTGCATTCATATATGCCTGAGTGAAATCTTCAATTCATTCTAATATTAGACAAAGGGCAGATAAAAAAAGTTAACCAATGCTTGCTTTTTGGCATTGCCCATTCCATCATTAAACGCTCCACCGAAGGAAATCACGTTAAACTGCAGTCAAGTGTAACTCAGAATCTTGGTTAAAGCAATTTATATATGAATTGATGCCAGCTACATATTGGTCCCTCAAGAGGTTAAACTATAGCTTTTAGTCTTTAGGCGTGGTTGATATACTCGTAATAAGATGGCAGTAGAAGAGCCCTGATCCCGTGCAAAGAGAAAGGAGCATGTTGACATGGTATTACGATTATCCAACACGGATATGAGCAGGCCTCACGATGGCAGTGAATTCCACTCCGTTTTGCCTCCAAAAAGTTAGTAGCGGACTGCAGTTTCGACATGATAATAACGAAACCTATTTAATATGAATACAGATAATGCAACCAATTGTAATCACAAATAGCATTTGGCCTCATTGATGATCAAATTATTAAAATGAGATATTGTGAGGCCTTATCCTCTACTAACTTCCCTTGAAAGTCTATTCTACCCTATCACCCAATTGTATCAATGGCAGTGTTACTGGATTATATGACCGTGGGGGGTGCTGATGAAACTTAGACGGGGTCAAAACTAAAGGCTAAGGATAAGAACATCTTCGGGGAAGCAAATTTGAGGGAATTTGAATAAACATCGTGAGACTTTGATGAAGCTAGCTTATGGGAAGCAAGGATAGGTGAAATTAAAGGAAAAAGCAAGATTTACTCATATCATTGTAAGTAAATTCTAATACCAGTCATTCATCGCCTTAATAAAAAAGGATGAATGCATTTCACACAATTGTAACTTTAATTAGTTGGGAAAGGTAAATTTTATTATTGTAAATTACTTCTGTACCAATCGATATTGGCCATTACCTTTTGCAATTCACTGACGAAAATATTGGCAAAGAGGACTATCAACTCGATGCGATTACGCAATTGCAAATCGCAGAGATTATTAAGGAGGCGACAGAGCTCTAGTTGGACCGACTCCGGAAGAGGCAGATCAAGAAGACTGCTGCGGATCACACTCACTGATAATGATGGTAAAATAAAGAGAATTTTCAAAGTGAAAATTGAAATGATTGGGACCAAAAAGTGAATTAGGGGATAATTAAGAACTTGTGTGCAACAATTAAGAATTATTAATACTTAATTCTCATTATAAACTCTTGTAAATATTCATAACCAAGATGATAATCCTAGATGATACAGATAATTATTTCGTCGAAGGCAGCTTAACTAGACCTGCGGCGGGAATCCTTCGAAAAAAAAGATATTTAAATCTAAAGAATTTAACAAGCTGCATATATTTGCTTTCTGTGACTTAAGGATTAAGCTTTCAATTGTCCTAAATAACAGTTGGTAGACTAAATGAATAAAAAAGGATCTTATCGATAAATTGAACTATCTACTAGCAATATTGCTGAAGGGGGCATCGGAAACAGAGGTGTTTAGGCAACAGGCAAGCGGTTCATCTAAAACGCA